ATTCTGATCTTTCCAACCTAGGTGGCTCTCCTGAGTTATTACTTTCTTCCTGTACTTCACTATTTTCTAAATTTTATTTTTTCCTGTTCACTGCAACTTTTTAGTAATATATTCTTTATTTTAGAAGAGTTCTAGATTTTGGGGAAAATTGCAATGATATTACAGAGTTCTCATATATCTTACACACAGTTTTCCCTATTGTTAATGTCTTAGTATAGTACATTTCCCACAATTAATGAACCAATATTCATTTATAAGAGTGAGCCACCACATCCGGCCTATTATTATTGTTATTAATATTAACTAGATTCCACTTTTTGATAGGGAATGCCAAAGTTCTAGAAGAATATGTGGGTTAAGAGATATCATTCTGACCACCTTTAGAAAATACAATCTGTCATAATGAGATATAAAGAGAAGCCAATCTTATGCTATTTCCTACACTCTCTTCAAAATTTCTCTGTGAACTCATTTTTCCCTGCATCTTGAATATAATTTCAGTCAAATCCCATACTATAGTGGGCTGCATTTACCTTCATTTGATGCTCCTCTCACATTCCTGTCCAGTGACCTCAGGTACAGCCATATGACTTGAACAGAAGTGGTATGTGTCATGTCAAGGCAGAACCTTTGATGGTCAGCATGAGGTTTGCCATGTTTCCTTTCCCCCCTGCCATGGTGACAAGTGATGTTCCAGTTAGTGGCTACTCCCTCAGTCTGGGTCCCAGAGTGAACACAGTTACATCTAAGCTAAAATTGATGTGGTCTAGCACACTGCCTTAGGACGTGGGCTAAGTGGCATGTGCTACATAGTTCTACACCTCTGGTCTCTCTAAAACACTAGGAGTTCTTCTTGTAGGCTCTACTGAAATACCAAAACAGAAAATCCTGTTTTGATGTCCCATTTCTACTGTTCTCTTAGAGTCATCTTTGTTAGGATTTATGTGTATGGAAATATCTCATAACATTTTGACCTACAAGGTTGTTTTAAAAACCAACATTAACATATGGAAAGGGAGCATTTGTAAAGACTCAGGACCACAATAACATGTGGCATCCCATAAATCACTTAATGTCTGTGTTGCCTGTTATTCTGGCAAGTGGAAAAGTCCTATTTTAAAGAGGTGCTAAAAAAAAAAAAGCTAAACTATGTACAGAATTTATAAATTAACATATCTTAGAGCACTACTTTGGCCACCTTGGCAAAGACATAACTGTTCTAAAAGATCTTCATGGCTCTGTTTTACAACCTCCAAAAGCTAAGGGATGTGTATGACCAAGATGCCAAATAGATGACAGAACTATGTCTCAGTCCTTTTGCCAACTTCCCTGTTCAGCATAAGATTATGTCCTTTGTCATTAGAGATGACTATTACTTAGTCATTTTTTGATATCCTTCTATATAATAGTAGAATAAGATGAAAAATAAAGGAAGTTATATGCCTTTCCTAAAGTCACTAAGTATCTTCTTTGGATCTGAAACCAGAACATAAAAGGTTCTGCTTCAGGTAAATACTTCATTTTCCTTTTCCTTCTCAGTACTTTTATTAAAAAACAAAATCTACTGCACAAAAGGAACCACTTTAGCATATTTTGTTTCTCCATTATAGATATGTTTTTGATGGAAAATCATTCCTGTGTTGATGAGTAGAAAAAATTAAAACCATATAACTAGGCATTTCTATACTGCTCATTGGTAATGAGGCTATCAATATGCCCCTTTTTGAGAGCAATTGGGATGATAGAGAGCTGACTTTGGAGAATGGAGGTCTGGCAGTGGCTAAGTAGGTACTGGCCAGAGAAGGTGGATGTGTATGAATGGTTTACATGACCCTGAAAATTGCCATCCCTTTGATATCCTTGACAAGCATAGATCATGGACCTTACTCTTTATTTGTAAAATTCTCTTAAATACAGATAGCCTACATATACAGTCATGATACTTGATGACAGACATGTTTTAAGAAATGCATTGTTAGGCAATTTCATCACTGTGCAAACACAGTGTACTTATGCAAACCTAAAAAGTATATCCTACTATAAACCTAGGCCATCTAGTATAGCCTATTGCTCCTAGGCTACAAACCTGTATAGTATGTTACTGTACTAAATACTGTAGGCAATTGTAACGAATTAAGTACTTGTATATCAAAACATATCTAAACATAGAAAAAAATACAGTAAAAATATACTATAATCTTAAGGAACCATCAACGTGGTCCCTCATCGACTGAAATGTCATGTGGCACATGACTATTTCCCACTCCAGCCTGTCAACTCCGTGAATGCCAGAGTCATGTCTGCCTTTTATATCCTTAAACCCAGTAAAGTTCCTCGTTTAACTGCTCATTAAATATTCAAAAAACAAACTGACCAAACACCATACATATATCCTGCCTTTTATTTTTTCAGAGAATTCTATGGATGCAAGTAGGCTTCTATCCAGTTACTGCATTCAATTAAATGACCAGAATCCCCAGGTATGGTGTGTTCTTGTTCCTTAGGTCTCAAATTGATTCTTTTTTTTTTTTTTTTTTTTTTTTTTGAGATAGAGTCTCGCTTTGTTGCCCAGGCTAGAGTGAGTGCCATGGCGTCAGCCTAGCTCACAGCAACCTCAAACTCCTGGGCTCAAGCAATCCTCCTGCCTCAGCCTCCCAAGTAGCTGGGACTACAGGCATGCGCCACCATGCCCGGCTAATTTTTTCTCTATATATTAGCTGGCCAATTAATTTCTTTCTATTTATAGTAGAGACGGGGTCTCGCTCTTGCTCAGGCTGGTTTCGAACTCCTGACCTCGAGCAATCCACCCGCCTCGGCCTCCCAGAGAGCTAGGATTACAGGCGTGAGCCACCGCGCCCGGCCTCAAATTGATTCTTTATGGTCCAATGACCCATGGACTAAGACATAATATTCTGCTTCCCACACTCCTCCAATAAATAATGGGGCAGAAGAGACATGATAATTACAATAAAAATTTCTATTTAGAAAAGAACAGAGATATACAATGGTCACTAGTGTACAGCATTGCTGGTATGCTACGCAGGCATTATAAAATTCCCTATCCTTTGATTATGCCCTGATTCTACTCTCCCTTGAACATTGTCTTCTAAGATTTTTGTTTCCATCCTCTAGGTTTTATTCCATTTGCTTTGTCCTCCTTGGGGAAAAAAGGCTGTTTAGTTTTTGCCGCTAATTTCTTGAAGAAATAGGCTTGACTATTTCTAACAGTGTTTTGTCATTATCTTTTTTTTTTATTTTTTTATTTTTTTTTTTATTTTTTTTTATCACGACTAAGCTATGAGGAGATGTCATTATCATTTGTTTTGTGTTTTGTTGTTTTGGTTTGCACATTTTATATCAACTTTATTGAGGAATAATATTCATACTATTAAGAGCATCTATTTTTAAATGTATAGTTCAATTATTTTTGAGAAGTACATATACTACTACCTCAATCAAGGCAAAGAATATTATCCAAAAAGTTCCCTTCTGCTTCTTTGCAGTCAGTCTTACCCCTCATTCACCCCATTCTAGGCCCCAAGTGTCATATGTTCTAGAATTTCATCAAATATCCAGTTTATGTTAACATTTCCCATTGTCCCATAAACGTTATATTTAATTGTTTGTCTGAATCCAAATCCAAATAAAAACAACATATTGAAAATGACTGATATATCCTTTACGTCTCTTTTAATTTCCTTCTCTCTCCTCTGTTCGTAATAATTTGTTGCAGAATCTGGGTCATTTGTCCTGTAGGTTTTTTGACAGTCTAGATTTTGCTGATTGCATTGGGTGTTTAATACCTTCCTCTGTCCTCTACTTTTTTAGATGGTAGTCCTATTTAGAGACTTGATCTGATTCTGATTTGATTTTTTGGCCTCATGCATTTTTAATTGGGTTGAAGGATCACAGGCTTTAACGTTCTTGGGTTATAAGTAATAGAGGATTGAATTCCACATGCAAAATAGTGAAATTATTGGCTCAAATAATTGAAAATTCTAGGGCATATCATGGATTCTGGGCTCATATCATATAATGATGTTCTGGTTTTTCTTTTTGCTTGATCCTGCTCTCTTCTGAGCTCTGGTTTCATTCTCCACACCTTCTCATGTTCAAGTCTATAGGAAAAAAGTTGCTTTCTAATGGTTCAATTTTGTGTCACTGGCATTCATTGGCCTGGCTTGGGTCATTCGTCTATCTTGAATCAATTAATGACACTATGGAAATATGATATCCTGATTGGCCAGATTAGGATGCCAAGGTGAAGGTAGTATTGAATTGAGACTTTTAGTCTTCTAGCCTCACAGTTGGTTTAGAGGTGACCTTATTATACCTACTTATTTCTACTCACCCCTATATATTCATATACAATAGCCCGTAACTATAAACAATATTTCCATGAAGTGGAGGTAGAATAAGGTGTAGGGGAAAAGCCCCTTAGAATTGTCCCCCAAATTCTATTGTACTAAGTCAGCAGTCACCTCCCGTCTCTTATTTGAGAGGTGAGCTCTGTGGAAATAAAAATGGTAGAGCAAGTTTCAATACGAAAGAAAATAAGCAGAGGTCGGGGAAGAGGGAGAAGTGGGGCCGGGGGAGTGGGAGGCTGATCCCAGCCCCATAAAGAAAACATGCAGACGACGATGCATTTGAGGGATGGGGATACTTCAGGTGAGGTTACCGTGTGGAAGGGCTCAGAAGTAAAACTTGGTCTACCTTACCACGTTATTTTAAACACCAACGACAGAGTATTTGAAGTTTCATTTCTTGGCGGTGACTGCCAGCATTCAGGCGGGGTGAAAGCTTCATGAGAAAGGTCAGGATACTCTGGAGAGGATACTGAGTTTTGTCGGCGTTCACAAGGCCAAGAAAACTCGGTTTCTCCGCTTGCCGTGCACCGTGAGGCACCTCTTCTCTGCCTCGCGTAAAACCAGCCAAGGCCAACGAGAACCACGCCCCTCCCAGGGACCGGCTCTGCGCTTGCGTCACTTCCGGACCTGAGAGATTCGCATCCGGTTGAAGCTGAGCCTCTTGCTCTCTCTGACTGGTGGAGCTGCCGCGCTGTCCGCGTTATCTCCTCCCGGTGAGACCGAACTGCAGTGTCCACCGGTGAGGAGCCACCCCTGTCCAGGGCAAAGAAAGACGAGGAGCGGACCTGGGAGCGGGCGGCGGCCGGGCTGCGCCGGTGCGGGCTGGCGACTCTGCTCCTCCGCTTGCTGCTGTCTCTGGGAACTGGGTGCCGGCGCTGAGGGGCTTCCAGCGGACAACGACCCTCTTCCCCGGCTCCCCTGCCCACCCTGCCTGGGAGGGCAGAAGATGCCGGTGAAGAAGAAGAGAAAATCCCCTGGGGTGGCAGCAGCAGTAGCGGAAGACGGAGGCCTCAAAAAGTGTAAAATCTCCAGGTACCACCTCCCCCCACCCTTCAAGCTTTCCTCCTTCCTCCTTTGCTGGACAGCTGGAGGAAAAGGAGTCGGGCCCAGCCTCCCGGAATCGGGCAGGAGAAAGGTGAGGCCCCTCTGATCAAGCTAGGCTAGGTGGTAGATGCAGAACGAACACAACGAGTCTCCGCTTCCGACCAGACCTCGTGTTCGCGTGTGTGCGCTCTGGCGTTTATGGAGGAACTGGAAGAGCCGCCCCACGTTTGAGTCTACGTGCACTGGAGGGTGGGGAAACAGATGCATATATAAATTGCGCCCTTTCCCCTATCCCCAGCCCCCACCTCCTTTATCCCGACCTAGAAGTGAGTACAGACCACGGCAGGGTCACTTCTAGAATTTCTCTGTAGAGTGTGAAGAACAGAGCATGAGGAATCTTGACAACTGTCTTGGGAATGGTAGAAAGGAAAACTTATATGCTGTAATTGGCCTCCACATTTAATATTTGGAGTAGCCTAACCCGGAAGATCCCAGCAGGAAGCCTTTTAAATTGCTGGAGCCCCATTTTCTGGAAATACAGTGCCTCACCTCTGCCAAGTCCTTATGTACAGAGTTGGAAAGGCCTTGCATGCTTTTTGTTTTCTAGCGTTCAGAAGGCTGTTAGCTCTAAGTATAAATATTAATAATTTGGGAGCTATTGTACTCTGTATCCTCTTGTGAAAAAGAAGACAAGGCAGAACTATATAGTTATAGCTCTTTGGCCTCATTGTAGCTTATCATTAAGGCATCACATTTTTTTGTATGCTGCAAAAAAATCATTGCAATTTTGGTGTGAGAAGTGAACTTAAAAAAAAATCTTACTGGGTGTCTTTTTATCAATGGTTGGCACTTGATATGACAGCTTAAGATGCTACCATTAAAAGAAGACAATAGCCATCATTGTAAGGAGAAAATAATGGTAGAGCTCTCCTTAAAGGGAGACCTACTGCTTAAAATGTGAGGTAGGTGACTTCTAGTCTGCATCTTCCTTTTTGTAATTGTTTGAGTTTTTTTCCTTTGTTACTGTGCTTTGGCAAAGGAGGTTAATAAGTATTTCTTGGTCTCTTAGTGTGAAAGACGATACAATTTTCTTCTACCTCTTGGTTAACTAACATTAGAATTTACATGTTATTTTAGTAGTTCATATTTTTATTAAACAGGCAAATTATTAGTTATTAGTTTCTTATTACTCTAACTTTTGGCCATCTTAAATATATAATGTATCAGAATTATTTAAATTAAGCACATTAAAATAGCTAAGCAGGCAGATTATTAAAACTAAGATGACACTTTGCTCTGTCAATTTACATTTTTAAATATGGGACCTTTCCTGTACATTAAATTACATAATCTCAGAAGTTCTAGCAATTCTATATTATAGTGATAGTGTAATTATTTGAGTTCCTTGAGAAAAGATTCTTTGAAGTCCACTAAATCCTAGAGGCCATTTTTGAACTTCCCAAATTTTAATGATTTTATGAAAAATAATGAAAATGATTTTATGCAAAAAAGGAACATAATCTGGCATTAAATAGCCTCAGCCATTATTTGGACTATTAATAACTTTTAGGAATTTTTGTGGGTTTTTTTGTTTAATCTGTGGAATTTAATATACCTTTATGTCCTGAGTCATCATTTATCTTTAAAAATCTGTGTAAGCTTGGTAGATGATAAACAACTCTTATTAGAGCATTTTATTTTGAAATATTAAGTATCAAAATATACTTTGTAAAATTTTGTTTTCAAATATTATACATAAATACAGTTTCTATACAAATCAGTAACAAAATCACAATGAAGATTTGTACTTTTCCAGCTACCACTCCTACATTGAGACTAAGGTTGAACTTCTCTGTGTAGTCTTGAAATTTGGGAAATTAATTTTAGTTGATATTTTTGGAATTTGATAATGATCAAAGTAGCATTTGGGTTTCGTTAGCCAGAAATTCTTACATACGGACTACTGTTTCAAATTGCAAATGCTTAACTCCAGTTTTTCCCTATAATATCACCTGTTAAAAAATATGTAATGTTGAATTAAAATAGCTCATTTTGAACTTAGTTTCTCACGAGGAGCTGAGACTTGATAAAAATCTTAGACATTTGTGTGTTTTCTAAGCTATTGCAGATCCCAACCCCCTGCTAGACTAATAAGTGGAGACGAACATTTTTCAAGCAAGAAGTGCCTGGCTTGGTTTTATGAGTATGCAGGTAATGAAATTTACATAAGAAGCTATCAGTCATATGCTTTAAAAGTTTTTTTGGTTTTTACATTTAACAAATAATTTGTTGCAGGTCTGCTATATGTGTTAGTGCTGTGTGATGAGATTAGACTCAAGACTGAGGATTGGTGCATAGGGTAAAAATTTGATGCATTTCAGACTGATATTTTTGAAAATACATATTCAGTATATATTTAGTGGGAAAATCATTTACTATTAATAAAATTTGTAAACAGATTCACTTATTAATTTATACCCATTGGCTAAAGTACTAGTCTGGAAAACAAAAAGTACATAATAAAACATTTTTGTATTCAGTATTCTAGAAAACACAAAGTACGTAATAAGACCTTTTTTATTCAATATTCTTGAAATTTTTCTTAACTACAAACTAAACATTTTTTGAAACTTTTAAGGAGACATAGTAAAATATTTAAACCTCAGATATATCATTGCACAGCACGTTTACCCTTTAATGATTTTAATTTAGCCATTTGCCTCTACTAGAGATGCAGTAAGAAAGTAAATAGACGGATATGAGTACAGCGTGATAAATACTACATTAGAAAGTTAAACTGTGAGCGTTCATAGGAAGAATATATAACCCAGCCTTTGAAGTATTGAGAGAGTTTCTAAAGGAGCTAACTTAACATCAGCTAAATCCTGTAAATGGTGAATGAAAACCCTCCAGAGTGAGGCCATAACTTAAGGTTGAAAGTCAAAGCTATCCAGGCATGAGGCTGAAGGCGTAAGCAAGCATATGTAAAAGAACAGTTGTTTCCTATTTACACTAACTTTTTCATAAGCATTTATGATTTTTTTTTCTTAGAATGGTTTTGGTTTTTTGGAGTTACTGATTTTAAAGCTTTGCTTTTTTTCCCCCTTTTCCCTGTTTCCTTTTTCTTACTGCTTCCTTGTATTTTTGTTTTGTTTTTTCCCCTCCTTTTATCACTAGCGTTCTCAAAATGTTTGTTTAAAACAAAAGTGTAAGGCCGGGCGTGGTGGCTCACGCCTGTAATCCTAGCACTCTGGGAGGCCGAGGCAGGCGGATTGCTCAAGGTCAGGAGTTCGAAACCACCCTCGAGACCCCGTCTCTACTATAAATATAAACAAATTAATTGGCCAACTAATATATATACAAAAAATTAGCCGGGCATGGTGGCACGTGCCTGTAGTCCCAGCTACTCGGGAGGCTGAGGCAGGAGGATTGCTTGAGCCCAGGAGTTTGAGGTTGCTGTGAGCTAGGCTGACGCCATGGCACTCACTCTAGCCTGGGCAACAAAAAAAAAAAAAAAAAAAAAAAGTGTATATGTGGCTATTTCCTCATATTTAATGCTAATCCATGTTAAGGCCTAAAGTGTACCCTGAATTTGACATACAAGTTTAGACAAACTGTATGGAAAGTGATACTATTTTGAAAGAGGGGCAATAACTTCACTGTTGAGATTAGCTGAGTGATCCCAAAAGTATAATTTAAAAATTGTTTAGTAACAGAACAGATTCTTTCTAGACCAGAAAAAAATGCTATTACTGGCATCCCAAGACAACCACTAACCCAATTTAAATGAAGAGAGTTCATTTTCTTACTGACCTCCATTTAAAATGTTGACTCATTATTCAAAATGCCAATTTACTGGCATGCATAATATAGAATCAAAGGTCACTCATCTTATTTCACTTATAAAGGTTTCTAGATACCATAAAAATAGTAAATTTTTATCTTTTATGCTTACTTGTTTTGCCTCTCCTAGGAACTTTCCCTAGTTAGCATAAGAGTCTAATTAAACATTTAGTTCCTATATTACCATTTTTAATAGCTAACATAATAATTGCTAGTATTACTCCAGGAATTATGCTAAATATATCATTTTTTTTTTATAATCATTCTGTTAATAGGTGATGTTATTCCCATTTTATAGATGAGAAATCTGAGGCTTAGATTAAGTAGTTGGCTCAAGGTCATACAGTGACAAGAGCCAGGATAGGATACAAACCAGGTCATACTGACCCTAAAGCCCATGCTTTTAACTACTGCTGCCTTATATGTTTGTTTTTAACTTAAGTATGTACATGATTATGGACATGGCAACTAATTTTCACTTTTACAAAGAAAATATTAGTGCTCCTGAGGTTAACTTGTCTTCTGTCATTCATTCAATGATTCATTTAATAAATATTTGTTGAGTACTTGTTTGTGAGCCTGTGCTGAGTATTGTGGATATAATGGTGAACAAGTCTGACTAGGTCCCTGCCCTCAGGGGACTTGTCTAGTGAGTAAGACAAGTCAATAAACAGGTATGTAGTCGAATTAATTACAAATTATGGAGGGTTATTAAAGGTAATAAATACGGTAAGGTTTAGGAATAAAGAGTAAAGAAGGTCGGATAGATTTTCAGATTTCAGAGAGATTTTGTAAGGCCTCTCTGTGGAGACAACTTTCGGCAGAGACCTGGTCAGGGAGGAACCAGTTGTTTGTCAAATAACCAGAAACCGTTTTGTCTTAGAATGGGGATGGATGTCCTTATTAAAATGGAGACAGTAATTGTGCCTGAGAATAATACATGTAAAGTCCTTAGCACACAGTATCTGGTATACAGTCAGAATGCAATAAATGTTAGTTATTGTTATTTAAACTATAACAGTATTACAGCATGAGATTTACTGGTTGTGTGTTTTTTACTATGCTGTTCCAAAACTAACAATTAGTCTTATGTAGCTTATGTAGAAGGTGCTGTGTCACTGATTACTTTTTTTTTTTTCTGAGCATCTATTATGGCTGGCATGGTATTAAGCTCTGCAAATATAGCCGGGAACATTTCTTATGGTTAAAAAGAAATCAAGAAATTGATGATGTTTTTCTTTTAGTTTTGAAAATATCACTAAATTTGTTACTATATATTATGGGTCATGTGTGACAAGCCTGATGGTTTTGCCTTTTCATAAGACCTCTCATTCTTGAGTGATATTTATTTATTTATTTATTTATTTTTTGAGACAGAGTCTCACTTTGTTGCCCAGGCTAGAGTGAGTGCCTTGGCGTCAGCCTAGCTCACAGCAACCTTAAACTCCTGGGCTCAAGCCATCCTGCTGTCTCAGCCTCCCAAGTAGCTGGGACTACAGGCATGCGCCACCATGCCCGGCTAATTTTTTTGTATATATATTGGTTGGCCAATTAATTTATTTCTATTTATAGTAGAGACGGGGTCTCGCTCTTGCTTAGGTTGGTTTCGAACTCCTGGACTCAAACAATCCGCCTGCCTCGGCCTCCCAGAGAGCTAGGATTACTGGCCTGAGCTACCACGCCAGGCCTTTGAGTGATATTTAAATTAACAAAGATTCAGTAATGTAGAGGGCCTATGGTAAACAAAAACATGGGAAGTGAAAGAGCACTTTTAAAGTCTTATAAAGAATTGAAAAATAAGGTTGGAATTGCATAGTCCTGACAGTACCCAGCTGGTAGAGTGAACTAGTAGAGTGAACAAGATCATTTCCATAGCCTCTTTAATTGAGTGAAAACCTAGTTGTCCAAAAGAGTTAATTAAATTCATCTCCAGAGGTTTTACCCAGGGAGTAGTTTTATTGGAAGGATATGGTTCAAAAACTATAATTAACATTATGTAATTGGGGAAAGAACATTGATACAGACCTTGCTTTAGACTTAGATCTGTTACTATATGTATCACTTTTGGAAAGTCAGTTAACATTTATGGACCTTATCTATATGAGGTCATATATGTCTGTATGTGTATATATTATATATCTCTATATAACCTAATTTGATTTTAGTCAAATTTTAATTACTAATTGCAGCTAATCACCCAGTTTCTAGGGGGGGGCTATGCCATACTGATATTTCTTGACATAATTTGTCAGCCTTCTCTTCTAATCACTAACGGCAACTTTGAGGGCAAGTCTGCTTTTTTGTTATGTTAGAAAAATTCAGAATATATTCCTATCATGGCTTAAAAACAAACAAACAAACTTATTTTTCCCTTAAATTTTATCTGATTGTTTTTTCTTCCAACCATATATAAGGATACATACTTAGTTATTTTTTTCACACCTTGATTGTATATATATACTTTTTAAATTGCAAAATTAACACTTTCTCATTAAAACAATTCTTTATATAATATTAGGATATGAAAGTCTCCTATAATTATCACCCCATTCAATTTTTAACACCTCAGTGCATCGTTAGTATTTATTTAAACCTCATGATATTTGCCCTTTACACAAAAAAATTAAAAGAGGGTTTTGGTTTCAGACAATGTATTGATGTCATCTTAGCAGCCTGGATCTCATCTCAGGCAGCAAGAATGTATTGGCCACATACTGGATGGCTTCATTCTTTTATTAAGAAAAACTGCAGGACACTGACTTTGTGTTTTGCTTATAATCTAAAGGTGGTACTTTAAAAGCCACCTGAGTATCCTTGGTTTAATCTATAATTGTAAAGCTGATGTGTTTTGGTCTTTAAAAAAGGAAGATAGAAGGTTCTTGGCTACTTTAACAATAATACCTCAAGACTATCTTTTCAAAAGGCCATAGTAATAAACACATTTTTATCAATATTTCACATTGTTGTAAAGTTTGTTTTAGTCTTACCCTAGTCACAGATGAGACCTAGTGATGATGTAATTACTATATTTTGGGAGTCTGATAACATTTAAAAAATTAGAATTGATGTATTGACTTATATTTAGTGTTACTAAGGGAGCAAAATAAGGAAAAAGTTAAGTATTAATAATTAATTTTTGGACAAATGATAGACATAAACTAATTGAGAGATTAAACTGTTTTCTATGTTAAAGTAACATAACTGATGCCTTGCTGTCTATCTTAGAACCAAGATGATTAGGAAAATAGCTCTTTGTAGAAGTGGAATGTAGTAATTTTCATAAGTCATTTTGATAATATGTATATCTTTTATTAAGAATTAAATTATATTTGAATATATTTCAAAAGGGCAATAAAAGACCTTCTGTTTTAATAAGGAAACAAATATTTTCCTTCTGATTACTATATTGAACTGTGCATTGGTTCTGCCACATTCTAGTAGATAAAAAAGCTACAGCCTTCTTATGTTTCTTTTTATTCAGGGTAGGATATCAGTAAATGTTCTTTTTAATGGTTAGGTTTAGGTTTTTATACAAACCAATGATTTATACTAATGGAATATCTCTTAACTGCTTTATTTCCTTAATTTCATATTGTAATGTGGTGGTCAAAGAATACTTCAGAAATTTAAAATCTTGTAACAGTTATTTATACTTTATCAAAGCTGTACCAAAATTCAAATTTAATTATTTGCAAAATATTATGATATATTCATAGATGCATTTAACATAATGACTTGTGTTTCATGTCAGTATTAAATTATAACAATAAAATATATAAATTGTTTTTGTCTTTGAAGGTCCTGATGAAGTTGTAGGGCCAGAAGGAATGGAAAAATTTTGTGAAGACATTGGTGTTGAACCTGAAAATGTATGTTTTATTTCTAAGTAGAATGGAATATAAGTGGGATATAGCATATTCATAAATTTCTAAAAATTGAGATACTAATCTTATATGAAGATTTTGTTTCTTCATGTTAATACTGTAAATTTGCATTTAGGATATTTTTAATCAATTTAAGTTGGACTAATGTTCTCTTTCTTGATACAAATGTCATTTGTAATACAGTGAGAGAGAATCTACCTTCAGAAACTATTAGAACTTTTTACTTTTATGAAAATGGCACATTTCAGTTTCTTTATAGTTAATAATTCCAACTACTCTTTAATCGTTGAAGGTTGGAAATAGTTGTATAAAAATGCTCTCCATGATAAATACAGACATGATTATCTCTATGCTGACTTTTCCCCTATCCTTTATGTTCTGTTCTTTCCAGATTATTATGTTAGTTTTAGCGTGGAAATTGGAGGCTGAAAGCATGGGATTTTTTACCAAGGAAGAATGGTTAAAGGGAATGACTTCATTACAGTAAGAAATTTTTTTAAAAAACAAATTTGATGGCCTATTTGAAGATCTTAATTGATATTTGTGCTTCATAATTTTCAGGAGTAAGGTTTCACCTTAAAATAATCATCTGTTTGATCTATAACAGTCATTTTGGGAATTGACAAAATTATATCATGGTCTTAGCAAATAGTTACCCCATGTTTTATATTTTCTAAGAAAGAACCTTAGTGTAGTCCTATTAAAATTCATTGATTCTCTTGGTGAGTAAATTAGAAGTCTGTGATCAAAGAGTTATTTATTTGCAGGTTGTTTGAATAATAAAGGCTTTCCCTCTCTGAATACAGAATCCTGCTATCTAAGGAGTTTGTTTGTTGGGCAGTCTTAAGCTCTGGGGCCTCCTGTCTCCCCTCTTCAATTTTATACTTAATTTAAAAAAATTGAAGGTAGAGTTACATGGCACTTTTATTTCCTTTTTGCCAAATTAATTTCATAAAGAACAAAAGTAAAAGTGTCATACTACTCTCATGCGGTCTTTAGCCATTTTGTAGTTGTATACTTTCAGTTTAGGAAACTGCCTTTGAACATTTTCTTAAGTTATAAAATTGCATCTTTATAAAAATAATTAAATTTTGGCTTTCCAGAATAAAGTGTGCTTAATTTTAGAGTCAATTAGTAATTATGCATTAGTTTTATATTATTATGTTCCTAATATTCATGCAGGATGTTACTAGTTGTCAACATTCTAAAATAGAGGAAGCATCAATTTATAATATTTTTGAGGCAAAAACTGGGGTTAATCAGCCATATGGTTTTCTGTTGTGATTATGCTATTATTAACACATTTAACTATTCTTTGTTCCTTGTTTGCCTGTCCTTAAAGTTTAAAAAAAAAAAAGTGGATTTGTTCATATGGCATTTAAATTTTTAAATTTGAGTTTCCAGTGCCTAATGCTCTGTCATTCTCTTTTTAACCAGCATTAACATGTAGATATTTTTACTTTTTTATTCTTTTTTTTAATTTCGGAATATTATGGGGGTACAAATGCTTTGGTCACATAAATTGCCTTTGCACGGCCTGAGTCAGAGCTACAAGCATGCCCATCCCCCAGACAGTGTGCACTGCACCCATTAGGTGTGAGTTTACCCATCCCCTCCCCCTTCCCACCTACATATTTTATATATTGTTTCTTTGGTAAATAAATACTTTTGCTCATATGAACCAAATCGTAATTTCTAGGATAGAACATAAATTAACCCTCTCACTTCCACTGTTTGTAGATGAAGAGTCTGAGACTCAGGGAGGTTAAGAAAACATTTAGCAAAGTTTACGCAGTTCCTTAGTGGGAAGAATTAGGACTTATAATTTAAATTTCCTAATTACTAGTCTACCATATTGAACTTTGTATTGTATTGTTCTTTTATGTATAAATTAATATCCTTATAAAATAGGGGACCATCATTAACTATTTAGTTAGTTATACAGACAGGTTCTCACTTTACTGTCCAGGCTGGAGTATAGTGGTACGATCATAGCTCACTGCAGCTTCGAACCCCTGGGTTCAAGTGATCCTTCTGCCTCAGCCTTCTGAGTTGCTGGGACAACAGGCACATGCCACTATGCCCAGCTAATTTTATAAATTTATTTTTTGTAGAAATGGAGTCTCACCTTGGTGCCCAGGCTGATCTTGAACTCCTGGCCTCAGGCGATCCTCCCGCCTCAATCTCCCAAAGTGCTGAGATTACAGGTGTGAGCCACTATGCCCAGCCTACTTTTTAAATCATAGTATTTGTTGCAACCAAGACTGAATTCTGTCATATAGCTAGGTGTCATAATGTGCCCAGTTAAATAATGATTCTGAAATTCTTTGAGTTATTTCCTACTGTTTAATTAGCTTTTATAAAGATTAAATAAAATATATAACATAGTATGCAAAGAATATAAATTAGTGTTTATATAACTCTGGGTTTTGGTTTTTTTTTTTTTTTTTTTTTTGAGATAGAGTCTGGCTTTGTTGCCTGGGCTAGAATGCCGTGGCGTCAGCTCAGCTCACAGCAACCTCAAACTCCTGGGCTCAAGCAATCCTCCTGCCTCAGCCTCCTGAGTAGCTGGGACTACAGGCATGCACCACCATGCCCAGCTAATTTTATATATGTATTTTTTTAGTTGTCCAGATAATTTGTTTCTATTTTTAGTAGAGACGGGGTCTCGCTCTTGCTCAGGCTGGTCTTGAACTCCTGAGCTCCAGCAATCTGCCTGCCTTGGCCTCCCAGAGTGCTAGGATTACAGGTGTGAGCCACCGCGCCCGGCCTACAACTCTGTTTTATTAGAATTTATGTTGGCATTGTAAGTGCTTTTTGTATCCCTCCTCTTAATACTTTTTATATACTGCTATTTGAAGTATCCCAGCTAACAAGCAACTGTATATTTTTAAACCAAAATGTTTCTTATGTTTTTGCATAAGTGGATAGACTATAAAAAGCCTTTGTATAACAAAAATGTGTAAACACAAAGCATTTCTAATATTTAGTCCTGAATAATTAGCATAAGAACAGGAATTAACTAGCTCATGAGCATAGATTTTATTAGCACACCTTCCCTTATGGGGAGATTACAGCCTATACAATTATTCAACACTTAAAATTGCCCCAGAAGTTTTATTTTTCATTTGTTATCCCTTGCTCATCTGCAAAGAACAATATATTGTAGAACCTTAAAGTTACTCAAATAAGCAAGCATTATTTTCTGGGAAAGTAGTTGTTTTTTCCTGTGGTCTAACTTGCTATGTAAAGTATAAAGTATTTTCCTTCAATTGATCAAGTTATTACTCCTATAATCTTCTTGTAAAAAAAAAACTTGCTATGTATAAAATAGTTTGAAATTTAAACCAAGAGAGACAAAAGAACCTATATATATATTTTTTTGTTTGTTTTTTTGAGACAGAGTTTTACTCTGTTGCCCAGGCTAGAGTGAGTGCCATGGTGTCAGCCTAGCTCACAGCAACCTCAAACTCTTGAGCTCAAGCAATCCTTCTGCCTCAGCCTCCTGAGTAGCTGGGACTACAGGCATGTGCCACCATGCCCGACTAATTTTCTCTATATATTTTTAGTTGTTCTGATAATTTCTTTCTATTGTTTTAGTAGAGACGGGGTCTCGCTCTTGCTCAGGCTGGTTTCGAACTCCTGACCTTGAGCAATCTACCCGCCTCGGTCTCCCAGAGTGCTAGGATTACAGGTGTGAGCCACTGTGCCCGGCCTAAGAATCTATATATCTTAATTTTAAAATTGCTGCTATTTAGTAGACTTGGTATTATATAATAAATATAAAACACTACAGTCTCAATTTCATTTGTATGTTTTTCATATTTTTAAAATTGAATTTAACCTGGGCATATGATGGTCTCTAAATCATCTTAAGATAGTTATCAATTATTTTAATCAATTAATTTTAACCCATGGTTCTACTTTAGTAGAACTATGCTAAAAAATAGTAGTCTAGTAGTTAAAACATGTATTGTAGTCAAGGTTAATGGTTATCATAATCATGAGTAATTGTAATCTGTATTGCATAATGTGTTATAGTTTTTAGAATACTTTTTAAATATTTGTTTAACATGTCTTCATATAGATGTTCTATAAGTTGGTTTTCCTTTTTGTGTGAAAGAATTTGTTGGTATGAATTTGTATATAACTAGACTGACCATTTTGTAAGTTTCAGGGGATGAAATTGCCATATTCTCTCCAGATATTTAGCTTTGTTTAGTTTGCATCTTTACTTAATAATAGTCAAATTTCCCTGAAAATCAGATTTAATTTTGTGGATATTTATATTAAACACCTATGACATATAAGGTACTCTGCCACTTACTGATGATCACAGTGAGGCATAAGACACAGCTCTCACCTTTCAGTTAATATTCTAAGAGAGCAGAGACGATATTGCGACACTACAACCATAAACCCAGGTAGAACATGACAAGTGCTAGAGTAAAAGTACAAAATACTATGGATGCATAGATGCTGGTAAGGTTATTTAGCCGAGTAGGTAGAGAAATCTTCACAGGTGTAGCATGTGAAGTAGAACTTGAAGAATGATTCAGATTTTGTTGTTTGAAGATATGGGACAGTGTTTCAGAAGAGAGAAATTGTGAGCAGAGCCTTGAGGAAGGAAATCATAAATTTGAAGGAAGTAGTCTGGTTTGTTAGAATCATAAAATACATAAAGAAAATTGCCAGAGTAGATTTAGAAGGTTGAGGTAATGGCTAGCTGCATTGTAGAGGGCTTTAACAAGTTGAAAGAGTTTAAATCATATGTTATAAATATTGAGAAAGAATAAGAGATTTTTGAACACACACAAATCATCAAACATGTTTGGGATAATTTCCAATGAGCAATTATTCTTAATGTTTTAGGGTCATAGACTCACGACTCTCATGAAAACTATGGACCTTCTCCCCATTTAGGGTGCATGTATACTGCTACACACAAAAGTTTGCATGTGCAGTCAAGGGTTGTGAATCTTTTTCTTCCTCCATCTATAGATACACGATTCCAAGGATACTTGCAAAATTTTGTCCTGGCATACTATACTAGAGTGAAGAACTTTGCTCATATCTGCTAGCTGAACGTTTGTTGTTAGAGTAAGGGTGAAATACCATGTCAGCGGAGAAAACTGAGCATAGACCTTTGAAAAGGATTTTACTTTATTATGATACTGAAAAAAAGGGAGAAGAGAACAGCATCTGACAACAGTGGTAGTATAATAACTATGCTGCCAGTAAGTCGCAAGTTGTACATCTTATGTCTCCATATAGAGCCCTGGACTTTGAAGATTAAATGGAATGGCCTAGCTTGACTTTCTTTGAGAGCAAGAAGGGAATGAGGAACATTTATATGATTTTTTTGGTGGAGATGTGAGAGTCTGGTAGATAGGATGTTATGGTGTGTATGGTGTGTGATTATCATTCATTTAGCATTTGGGGCCCAAATACTAATTGCCACTGACATCCTTCCCCTCTGCTCT